CTTTAGGAGGCTGAAGTGGGTGGATCACAAGCCTAGGAATTCAAGACCAGCCTGGCCAATACAGTGAAACTCCCACCTCTACTAAAAATATAAAAATTAGCTGGACGTGGTGGCATGCGCCTGTAGTCCCACCTACTTGGGAGGCTGAGGCAGGAGAATTGTTTGAACCTGGAAGGCAGAGGTTGCTGTGAGCCAAGATCAGGCCACTGCACTCCAGCCTGGGCAACAGAGTAAGATTCCGTCTCAAAAAGCAACAACAACAACAACAACAAAAACATCAACAGCTGCCTCATCAACAGCAACAACAAAACCCAGATTCTGATTCAGTAGATCTCGGTGGCGCATGAGATTCTGCATTTCTCACAAGTTTCCAGGTGATGCTGGTGTTGCTGGTGTACAGACCACACCTGGAGGAGCAGGGATTAGTCTCCTTTTCCATAGTCCATTTTGCACATCACTGGGGATTTATTTTTCTAGTACATTATGTTTCTAGAATTCCAGTGGTTGTGGAATATCCATGGCAGTTACTGTTTACTGTTTGGTTTTTTAAAACCACAGAATCTTTTGGCTTCCCAAACAGTGTTACTGCTCAGATCCCTGTGCACAGTGTACAAGTCAGACCTAGTAGGTGCTAACTGAAGTCAAACAGGAGGCCCTGCAAGGTGGCTCACGCCTGTAATCCCAGCACTTTGGGAGGTCAAGGCTGGCAGATCATGAGGTCAGGACCAGCTGAGACCAGCCTAGCCAATATGGTGAAACACCCGTCTCTACTAAGAATACAAAAATTAGCTGGGCATGGTGGTGCACGCCTGTAGTTCCAGTTACTCAGGAGGCTGAGGCAGGAGAATCGCTTGAACCCGGGAGCAGAGGTTGCAGTGAGCCGAGATCACACCACTGCACTCCAGCCTGGGTGACAGAGTGAGACTCCGTCTAAAAAAAAATGAGGAGGCCCTGAAAAATATCACTCTGAAATCTACCTCCCCACTCCCTGATCTCCAGGTCCCCGTGTCCAAACCACAGGAATTTGAAACTGTGGAACTCAGTTAAAAATCAGAGATCTCATTCTGGTATTCCAAGGCTTTAGGAGTTAAGTAACTTGCCCAAGGCTACACAGCTGCAAAACCCCGGATTTCCCAAACTCTTTTGCATTTTTTGTCCTAAGGCCACAGTCACAGCATTTCCCAGCAAAGCCCAGCCCAGATCCACTGACTTTCTGATTTTTCTTGACTTATTCACACCTGAGAACAAACACCTCTCTGCCAGGTGAAACTGTCTTTTCAAACAGGGTTAGGCTCTGTGGCTCACACCTGCAATCCCAGCACGTTTGGAGGCTGAAAGTGGGAGAATCACTTAAACCCAGGAGTTCAAGACTGGCTTGGGCAACAAATCAAGACCCCTGTCTCTTGAAAAATAAAAAATGGCTGGGCGTGGTGGCTCACACCTGTAATCCAAGCACTTTGGAGGCCAAGGTGGGTGGATCACCTGAGGTCGGGAGTTCAAGACCAGCCTGACCAACATGGTGAAACCCCGTCTTAGAAAAAATAAAAATAAATGAAAGATAAAAAACAATGGGCCGAGCTCAGTGGTTCATGCCTGTAATCCCAGCACTTTGGGAGGCTGAGGCACACAGATTACCTGAGATCAGGAGTTTGAGACCAGCCTGGTCAACATGAAGAAACTCTGTCTCCACTAAAAATACAAAAATTAGCTAGGTGTGGTGGCGAATGCCTATAATCCCAGCTACTCGAGAGGCTGAGGCAGGAGAATCGCTTGAGCCTGGGAGGCAGAGGCTGCAGTGAGCCAAGATAGCACCCCTGCACTACAGTCTGGGTGATAGAGAGAGACTCTTGAAAAAGAAAAAAAATTAGCTGAGCACGGTGGTATATGCCTGAGTCCCAGCTATTCAGGAGGCTGAGACAGGAGGCTGCAATAAGCTGTGATTGTGTCACTGTACTCCTGCCTGGGTGACAGAGCAAGACCCTGTCTCAACATAAATAAACAAAAAACAAAGAAAACAAAGTTTATAAGGAGTAAGAAAAGGCAGTTTGTGTCTTTTCCTCCTCTTCTGCCCTCCAATTCTCTCCAAATTGGTGCATTTTTCTTGGACAAGGTGACAGGCGGGGGGTGGGGGGAGGAACGGAGAGGTGACGAAATATGGTCCATTTGGCAAAACATTGAAGACCAGGTTATTCCAGGGTAAAACTGGCAAAAGGTTGAAGACCAGGTTGGATAAAGTTCTACCTCCTTGACCGCCTGGTCTCCACGTCTGCATCTCGTGGTCACAGTCTCTGCCAGGTAAGCTTTTACCTTTATTTCTCTGCCTGTTGCAGGGAAGTTGGTGTTCACCTTTACCTACCTTCACCTTGCTTTCCTGCCTACCATGGAGGCATGGGGGCCCTTGCTCACTCCATCTCCTATGCATTCAGAATGTCCTTGTTTAATGAGGTTTGGCTTTGTTTTTTTAGACAGGCTGCAGTGCAGTGGCACTATCTTGGCTCACCTCCTCAGGCTCAAGTGATTCTCCTGCCTCAGACTCCCTAGTAGCTGGGATTACAGGGGCACGCCACCACTGCCTGGCTAATTTTTGTATTTTTGGTAGAGACAGGGTTTCGTCGTATTGGCCAGGCTGGTATGGAACGCCTGACCTCAGGTGATCCACCTGCCTCAGCCTCCCAAAGTGCTGGGATTACAGGTGTGAGTCACCTTGCCCAGCCGGCTTAAAATTTTTATTTGCCAGGCACGGTGGCGCATGCCTGTAGTTCCGTCTACTCGGGAGGCTGAGGATGGAGGATCACTTGAGTCCAGAAGTTCTGCGCTGTAGTGCACTGATCAGGTGTCCACCCTAAGTTCGGCAACAATATGGTAACCCCCAGGAGTGGGGCACCACCAGGTTGCCTGAGGAGGGGCAAATTGGCCCTAGTAGGAAACAGAGCAGATCAAAACTCCCATGCTGATCAGCAGTGGGATTGCCCCTGTGAATAGCCACTGCACTCCAGCCTGGGCAATATAGCGAGACCCTGTCTCT